TATTTTTCAGAAAAAATTAATTTTGTCAAATCACTCAGAAATTACTTTTGGCTCTGAACCGCTTTGATATTTCACCGCCCAATTATAGCAGGTGTAATATCCAAATACATTTTTTAAGATGAATATCATTTCGACCGCCTCTGAACTTTGGTATGACGTCATTTTATGTCCTGGTGCGGTTCAGCGTGGATATGATTTATTTCCATATTTTTGGGAATCGATGTTTATTTAACATATTCGATAAACTCATCTTCAAAACATAATCTGAAATTCCAATTCATAAATTTCTGATATTACATTTTTAGCCCCTGGAGGAAGGTTGGGGTATTTTATTTATGTGACCGTTAAAATGGTTTTTGTGCAAGAGCCCTCCGAATCATCCAGACATACATGATTTATTTCGGCAATTTAAACGGGTTTTAATGCATTAGCCGTTTCCTATTTGTTGTGTATACCTGTTACGTTTCAACGTTTACTTTGGCACCTACTTATTTATATTAATCGTCTGCACATACATAGTAATAACCAAAAATGTATAATGGATTTTAATGGAAATTGGCGAAATATAACATGTAAATGTACTCAATATGTGAACGATCGGTTGATTTAAATTTTTAGCATTTAAATAAAACTGCCAAAATATGAAGTGATTTAATGCATTTATTAATCACATAGTAATGAAGGACTACATAAATCCATTTGGTGAAACAAACAGACATTCATGTCAGTAGTGCTATCCAAATTTGAACAGATCAAGCTTAAAATTATGGAACGGCTTGCCCAGCAACACCCTAGAATTATGTGATTTCTACCTTGTTTGGTCTCATTTTTACTTAACCTTGACTAAACTTAAGTAACTTAAAATTTACATAAAAATGAGGTGACTGGGGAATGAGCACATTAGTAATACGTTTTTTGCACTCTCAGGTAATTTAACCTTTATTGAATTTATTGAGATATTTTAAGTGATGGTGACGTTTATAAATTAGCGATTGATAACTAATCACTTACTCAGGAAGCGGTAAGTAAGTAATAAGGGAAAAATTAAAAAAAACATTATTAAAGAAAAAATTAAAATTACATTTTGAACAATTATTAAAATTTATTGGAGCAATAGAATTCGGGTTTAAAGCAACGTTCTCTTCTGATGATGCTATAGTTGCTGCACATTTTGTAATAACATTCTGGGATGCGATATCACTCTGTCACCGTAGAATTTCCTTGAGAATTTCCATGTAAAATCTTCTTTGAGAACTGATTTTTATTTTCCACAGAGTTTTCGATATATCCCTCAGCTACAGAGAACGAACGGCACCCACCGTGCCTTTTAAAGCCTAAAATATCTATTAGTTTACCAGAATGATGGCAGAACTCCTTCGGAATGTGTGTCAGGTATAAGTCGAGGGATCCGGGCAATTTTAAGGACTTTTCAATTTTGCTGGGTCAATTTCTACCCACGTTCTGGATCGTAACCTTCCCAACTCGCATTGCAAATAATAAGTGAGTTGAGTTTGGTTGTTTTGGTCGTAATGCTAGATATTTTTTATAAAATTCCAAATAATTAACTGTCTCCTTTCCGTGATTTGTTATTATATTAAACATTAGTGATTCGTTTTAGTGTCGGGAATATTTACTATCATGAAACGCACTTTTATCTTCAATTACCTACATTTATTTTCATATTATACAGGGTGATTCAGAACTTATCCAAAAAAATTTGGGAATAGATGCGGCATGAGAAATGGAGTCATTATCGTAAAAAAATTTTTTGTAAAATCCTTATAGTTTCCAAGAAAAAATTTATTGAAGTTATAGTACATTCAACGACTACATAGCTGGACAACTGTAGTCTCTAGCGTCATTCGCAATACGCGTGGAGAGCCATGTGACTCCTAATACTGAAATCCGTCGTTGCGGTAGTTTTTACCTGTTATCTGTGGTATTTACATCAGTTTTTTAGTAGTTAGTGTCAAAAATGGCTTGCGTGTATAGCAACTCAGAGTTGATGGATATCGTTTTAATTTATGGTGAAGCAAGACAACATTTGTATTATGGTGAAGTATTTGTGTTATGGTGAAGCAAGACATCATTTGTGTTAGTTCGTAGAAAGTGAGTAAGACGGACCCAAATGTGTTTACACGTGAGTGGATAAAATTTTGAACAATTGCTGTTGCAGCATCGGGTATGTCAAATGATTTTATTATTTAAAAACACAAATTAATTTTATTAATAATTAATAAAGGCAAAAGCATTTGAATTTGCCGATATAAAATAGGTGCGATAAAATTCTATTTACATATTTCTTTCCTTGCGAAAGTTTTTGTCCGTTTTTATCACGCCGCCATACCGGTCGCATTGTGCGAGGTCAGGTTTTACAGTGGACCAGTTTCCAGTGCCGTGCAGAAGTGTATTTTTAAATCATTTTCGAACTGCCCTTTTTGATTTTTTCTTTACAAAATTGTATTTGTAAGGGTCCCCTGTACATCCAGAATTTTTTTTTTGGATAAGTTCTGAATTACCCTGTATAGTTCTTCCCTTCTGCACGCCCCTGCTATTCGGAATATAATTCCTACTTTTATATTTAAATAGACTTCATAAAAAAAAATTAAATCTTGTAGATGTGTTCTTTGGTAAAGATTCTTGATTTTTTAACTTTATGGCTAATATTTTTCCTCTTAAGAAATGCCTCTCCAATTGTATCGATAGTATATATCTTTGCGACCAAAAGAAATTAAAGGGCGTTTTATCTGACATATCCGAATGGTCGATGTATTGCGCAACCAGTAGGCAAAAATACTTTCGGTAGCATATCGTCCAAGATTGCAAAATATCTCGGCTACGCAGATGCTAAAATGTACACAGGTCATTGTTTGCGTAGTACCTTGGCAACTCTTCTCGTAGATGCAGGTACAGATATGATAACATTGAAAACATTGGGAAATGCAAGAGTGATACTGTAACATCAGAATATACAGAAGATAGCATAATGTACAAGAACAAAATATCTCGTTTAATAGCAGTCGAAAGAATTAGTGATAACAATTTTCCTGAATTGATTGTGAGAAAAATGAACATTATTTATTATTTGCCAAAGCAAATTTAGGTAGTTTTTCTGGTGTTACTGTTAAAGGTTTCTTCTCAAACTGTACTTTCGTATTTAAAAACGGTTGTAAATGATTTTTGTTATTAATTTAAAGCAAATTATTGTTATATATCAAATATTAATGTTAATAAACTTTGTACTTTCATTTGTCTGCTTCATTTATACAAGATACATTTACTATTCCACCCTTGCAGAAAAGAAGGATATAAAATAGGGTCAAAATGTGGGTGATATTATTTGGATTCGCTTGTTTCGCCCTAGTGATATGACGTTGTTTTCCTGTTCTGTTCCCTAATAATAAACAACCTATATCGCCTAAGTGAAAAATAATATTTGCTTTTTATAAACGGAAAAATCAAATAAAAATTCGTAACTAGGAGAAAATTGGATAAATTGAATAGTGACAAAAAATACGCCTCTTTTGGCGATATAGGTTCCTTAAATACATTTACATAAGTATTTAAAATTTTGTGTAATAAACATTTTTAATTGTATTTTCGTTGTCTGTATATATTTCGTTAATTCTTTTACTGAAAACCTGATGAATTAATGTAGAAGTAAGTTTAGGTCACATTCGATTTTTATTTATTTTTCTATTTCATGATTTCAAACAACTTTTTGATTTCCGATGCATGTTGATTTAAACACGAATTTTTATACAGACAACAAAAAAATACGGAACAACACTTAAAAATAAAAAATAAAAATAAACTTTCTATGATCACAATTCTCTACTCATATGCAATGCAATGTGCAATTTGACGAAAGAAAATTTAATCTATAAAAAATACTATTCGGTGTCAACGGTTCTAAGGTAAAAAAAAAACATCTCGTTTGAAAACGGTTATGCTAAAATATTTAGTAGTAAAGTATTGACTGAATATTCCTAACTGTTGTTTCAGTTGTGTCAACTGAATAAGTATTTGTATTAATATTATGAATCTCATAAATCACCGCCTTGAAAAAATAATACTTCTCTGGACAGTAAAACATCTACTTAATTGAAAAAATGTGTCTCGTCAACCGATATTGATCTGAAGGCTAAAATTTATTCCAGAAAGCGACAGATGTCGCAACTTCGGACGAGAACGCGGAAGTTATACGACAACAATAAAGGCAACATAACTATTAAAGGGGCATCAGAAGCCTGATCCTGATAGGCCAGATATGCTTTTAACTTAATCCCCCATAGTGGTCTCAGATAGGGTATCGTTAGCGTCGTTCTACATAATAGCGGATTGTACATAGGATATTGGAGGTATTGATTCCAGCTTACCATGTTCAGAATTCAGAGATGTATTTAGTAGATACAATGTTAACCAAAGATTATACAGTGTGTCTATAGATGAAGCTAAAAAAGGGACAATTTTCGTACTTTTCGTTTCAGTACAGAAAGTAACTTTTGTGAAAAAAGAGTATATGAACGACGTTCCTTGTTAAAATTTTATTGGAAATATAATGGGAAGCTGATTTAACCTAAAAAGTAGTAAAAATTCTACATTCAGCAGAGATTGAACACCAAAATATGTACTGAACCTCACGAATATGATGCTATGAATCGTTTCCACGAAGAAGCCTATTAAATGTAGAGGTTTGACTACTTTCAGTTTTTAGCAATTTAAAAAGTGGAAGATGGTAGAGCATTTTCAATGGCAGATTTTTTTAAGGTCCAAATACATAGGTGGAATGGATTTCATCCATGGAACAGACCACTTCTTTGTGCCTATATTATTAAGTCTAAAGAAAAAATATTTAAAAAAAAATCTTGTCATGATATAGTGACTACAGTGACTAAAATAAAGAATTCAAGCTTATAAGCATAAACAATAACACAATAATAACCGAATGATAATCAAACACATTCCGATTTGTATCAGACGGACGGCATGCTACTCACCAGGTGAGATTCCCTCGTGGTGAAGGTGATGGGGTCGTGAGTCTCCCCCGCGGGGCATTTGTAATCCAGTCTGCCGGCCACTTGGATGAGGTGGCTGCCAGACCTGCCCAATTCCAATAAGTTCAGCCGCAACGTATCCGCCACGAATTCAACCTGAAATGAATTTTTAAACTCAATTTATTCATTTTATTATTTAACTCGACATAATTTAAACAAAAATTCCATTAACAATAAAAAATAAATTAGACCGCAAATAAATGACAAAAAAAAAACGATTGGGTGATTCAGTTGCCCCAAAAACATACAGGGTGTGACTGAAAGTTAAGAACACAACTCAGCCACAAATTCCTGGGATTAACATGAAATGATTTACCTTATAGAGAACTAACTTATAAACAAACCAATGCCTACTGAATACGGTGCAGTTTAAAGAACCATTCTGACAAAATCCTACTTTTTAAAGGGCAGCAGTTTAGGATGGAAAGTATTTATTGTCACGAAATAACATTTCTTACTATCACTATAAAAAAGTTTTAGCTAGAGGCTTCTTATTCACTGTACGTCTTTGTTTATTTGTGTGTAACATGTTTCTTGAACTATAAAAAAATACATATAGGGTGCTATTTACTTATTGTATTTCTTTTCGATTTCCAGTTCCTTGACTACTCAATAACTTTTTTGTTCGTACGCTGCTCACGAAAGTTTGATTCTGCTATAGATTTCGAGTAAAACAGTGAGATTTTTTACGTTAAGTGTGCTGAAACGCAAGGTGCTCGAGAATATGGTTCTTACACTTGGAGAAGTGACTATACTCATAGAAAGCGTAAATGATTACCAGTTATGAGACCGTCGACCGACATTTCACGACTGGTACTGTCAATTAAAATTCTCTAAATCTTGATGTGACCAATATTAATGATTCGTTTACAATGAACAATGACAAACCGTTATGCTTACGCTCGAGATAATGCGATCTCTGATTGGCTGAATAAAATCTCGTGAAAAATTACACCACTCAACACAGTGTTGTGTAGGGTTTCTGGTCGAGACTTCTCGAAGCGAGAATTCCCGGGAAATCTGAAAAAGTGTCGAGAAATCGAGAAATTTAAAAATCACGCGCGTCTGAAGTTCTTAACTGTAGTTCGTTTCGTTCATGCGTTCAATTTGTTTCTCGACAAATAACTGAGCGGTTAAAGTGGTTTCTCTACCAGCTCATGATTTATTTATTTTAAGTTTTTAAGGCTTTAGTTTACTTTGATGACTCTTTTTTTTTAATGTACAGGGCGATTCACTATATTTTGACCCACCTTTAACTTTATTGTTTTAAGAGTTATAAAAAAATGTGAAATACAAAAGTTGCACGATTTTTTATGAAGTATTCGAAAATGAAGAAAAACAAAATGGCCGCGGATGTTAACTTTGTTAATTTAAATGGAACACCCTGTATAATTGTACATATTTGGATAGAACGTTCCTTGTCGAGCATAGTTATATAGGGTTTGTTGGGTCCATCTCTAATAATAGGCGAGATAATATTAAAAAACGAAATGATGTTTTTTTATTAAGAAAATAAGACATCTTGTAATTGTTCGATCTCTTTCAGGTATTTCTGCCTTTTTTCCAATTAAGTAAGGATTTAGATTTAGTTGTAATATATTTTGACATATCGGACATTGATATAGTCCAAAATGCGTATAGGTATTTTAAGTAAATCTCACTAATTAAACCGTGTGAGGCCAATTACTCATGGACAATCTTATATATGGTAGGTCGTGACAGTGACAGGTAGTAATGTCATGATAACATTGTTATTGTTTGACAGTTTGTATTAGTATTTAATTAAAATGGGTTACACA